CCAATCCCTCCCTTTCTCCTCCTCCCCTCTCCCCCCTCCTCCCTCCTTTCATTTCTTTCTTATCCTCACCAGAGGATATTTTTCCCCATCTATTTCTAGAGAGAGTGGAAGGGAGGGCAGGGAGAGGGAGAGGGAAAGAAACATCAACATGAGAGAGACATTGATTGGTTGCCTTCCGCACACGTCCTGGCCTGGGACAGGAAACCTGGAACTGAGGTAGGTGCCTTTGACCAGGAATCCAGCCTGCAGCCCTTTCGTCTGTGGACTGACGCTCTAACCACTGGGCCATCCCAGCGGGGGCTTTAGTGGTTATTTCTCGTGTTGTTTGTCCAACCTACTTAGTCCTGGTCAGCAGTCCTGGTTTATAAAGCTCTCTCTTGGTCTTGGGCAACAGCCTCTTTTATAAGTCAACTGGTCATTCTTCTTCCCAGTTTATTCTTTATACACTGGTGCTGGGGTTACCTTTTCTGAAGGCCAAGAATCACTTCTCTGCTCAGTTGAGCACCTCCGGTGGCTTCTTGTTGCCTGCAGGCCCTCACAGTCCATCCTCTCCCTTCAGCTGCAGTTAAGCTTTGCTTTCTTCTGCTTTGCATGCAAGTGGAATGACCTCTCCCTTCCCCTTACCAGCTGTCTCCCAGCCTGGCAAGCTTCTACTTATCATTGCGACCCATTTCAGAGATCATCTTTGTGAACCATATTGGAACAACTGCTGGCAGGAACAGAGCAAACAAGTAAATGCATAATGCAAGTCATCCTTGATACCTACTTCTTGCTCACATCTAGATTTTCAGGTCTTCCTGAGTGTCTGAAATCTTTCCACTTTTCTCTGTGTTCTTTATCAGTACCACTCTTGTCTAAGCCAGCATCGTCTCCCAGGTGGACTATTGCAGAGTTCTTGTGTTTTTAAGTTATATTTTCATATATTTCACGGCATGTGAATTATATATAAAGTTACTTTTGTATATAATTACACAATTATATATGTAAGTTACTTAATTATATAATTCACATGCCATAAAATGCAAAATGTACAATTGTTTTTAGTGTATTTATAGAGTTGTGCAACCATCACTACAGTTCAATTTTAGAACATTTTTATCAGTGCAAAAAGAAACCCTGTTCTCTTTAGCAGTGACTTGACTTCTGGGTCACAGCCCTGCTGCCCCCCAAATAAGGCCTACTTGTCTACTTTCTGTTTCAGTAGATTTGTTTACTCTGGACATTTCATATAAAGAGGTCATATAACATGTCGCCTTTTGTGGCTTCTTTCACTTTATGTTTTCTAGGCTCATCCATTTTGTTGTATGTGTAGCACTTCATGTCCTTTTACGGCTGAATAACATTTAATTGTTTGGATATACCACATTGTATCCTTTATCATTGAGGTACATCTGGGTCATTGCCACTTTTTGGATATTGTGAACAGTGCTGCTTAGGATATTTATGTATGCATTTTTTTTTTTAATCTTTTTTTAATTTTTAATATATCTTTATTGATTTCAGAGAGAGGAAAGGAGAGAGAGAGAGAGAGAAACATCAATGATGAGAGAGTCATTGATCGAGCCCACAACCCGGGCATGTGCCCTGACCGGGAATCAAACCCCTCCTG